CACACACACACCCACCCACCATCACCATTCACTCAGTCACAGCATCCGAGGTAAAAAACCCTCAGAGCCATTTCACGTTTGGACCAAAACATACTCGGAAACTGTTGCTTGTGTCAACTTCCTGTGTTTAGCAGCTCACAGGGAAAGTGTGTCAGCAGTGGTGAGTAACAGAATCAATAAACCTCCCTCTCCTCCGATGTTCTCCCCTCTTGTCAGACAGAGCAGGCGTCGTTTCTGTTGCCATCCTCCGAAAATTCATATTCGTCTGTGATGCCGTTCATCAAAACATTTATCCCCTTCATTTAACTTTCACTGAATCACGTTCACTCCACACGCCATTCTCTCTGGACGGAGTCCAAGGCTCCTCCGCTCCGACCCAATTTCTCCAAAGGCAGACAAAAAGGAGGCATGCTGGGAGGCGGGTTAGGGGGATAAGGACAAGAGTGAAAGAGGGGCCAGTTAAGGAGAGGAGGTATAAGGTAACAAGGAGCTCTGATAAGAGGGGCACACAGAGGAAATGTAAGGAGCGAGGACAGAAATGAGTGCATTCGTAGGAGAGGGGATAAGGCTGTATGTTGTTGTGGAAACAATGCAGACGCTTCTCCAAAAAGCACTTTGGCAAAACCCTACTTTAGAGATAGAACAAGAGATTAAAACAAAATAAAGGATAAAGATCATTCGAAGTAAGAATTAACAAGCCCATCATTGTGAGGAACCTCCAGTCTAATCTCGCGGTGTTCCAACAGGGGACCCCAGGGGCCGACACCCCCCTGAGCGCAGACTGCTGATCCTTGGGGGGCCACAGTCTGGTAAGACCTCCACCGCCAACAGCATCCTGGGTGATGAGGTCTTCGACGTTGGGACAGAGACTACTCACAGCAACGTTGGCCAGACGGAGATCTACGGCCGACGGGTCACCGTGGTGGACACCCCGCCATGGGCCATCCCCAGCGACCTGGAGGAAAACCCAGAAGCTGACAGCAACGACAACGCCGGCGCAGAGTCGGAAAACCCGACGCAGCCCCCGCCGAGCCTGGACTGCGAGGGGCCGTGCATGGGGGCCATTCTCTGCCCTCCCGGACCCCACGCCATCCTGCTGGTGGTGTCGGTCACCCAGCCTTTCACTGACACGGAGAGGAGGGCCGCAGAGGAGCAGCTGGGGGCCCTGGGTGGAGGGACCTGGAGGTACTCCATGGTGGTCTTCACCGGGGTGGACAAGCTGCCCAAAGGGGTCTTCATTGAGGAGCATATAGAGAACACTGGCGAGTCCCTGCAGTGGCTGGTGGAGAGATGTGGAAGCAGGTACAGTGTTTCTCTTTCTCTCCCTCTCTCTTCGAGTCCGCAGAAAATCGATCTCTAAACAGTCTGTGTCAATTATTTTAGTGCAAGCAAAACAATCACAAATAGTTACAGTATCTTGTAGTTAAATAGGCAGCTTGAAGGGGAACTGTATGTACAGTATAAGGCTACTACTGCATATGTGAAAAATGTTGGAATAAGCCTTCTGCGGCTCCGGAAGGACCTGCTCAAAATCTGATAAATTGCCTCATGTGATGTGTGGTGGAAAAAATTCCTATACCCGCTTTGCGTGAGTCTTTTCATGCTGAAATACATAATACCAAAAACCAGGTTGGCTTTTAAGTATTTATTCTCTGCGCAGAGAAGTTTCAATCATCACAACAGAATGCGTGCAGTCTCAATGAGGAAGAACCCCGAAAAAAGTGAACAAGCTTTCTTTATACAGAAATGAGCAAAGGTGGGGGCCGACAGCCAATGTTACAGACATTTCAGTCTCAGACTTTTGGTCTCAGACTGATAGAAACAACATTCAAAAACAAACGGTCAGCAACCAAAGCAAGCGGCCCAAAGGCCTTGGTGCTGGAACATTCTCATACAACACAGTTACTTATCTTTGTGAACAGAGAGGGAGAACTCTTCTTCTGCACAACAGAGACACGGTGAAGTTCAACTAAGTTCAGAGCAAAATGACTTATGCATGAATACGATATACTGAGTAGAAATATATACTAAGTAATTAGAAATATATACTACATAAAAAATTACCATTACAGATGTCACTTGAGTCAGCGTCCGTTGGGGCTGATGACTACAAGTTTGAAAAATGAATAAAATCTGTGGGTGTGTGGAGCAACATTAGCCGCTACAAGTATAACACACCCAAAAACTCCCACTGAACTGTTGGCAGTCAAGTTGCATTGTGGGTTTTGGAGTACTCTTCTCACGACTGACTTCTGCATCTGTAATTATCTAATTGTTTAAACCATAACATTTGGTTAGCATTGATTAAAGGGGCACTCCAGTGATTTAGTATTGAATTTTTGTAAAGTCAGGGGACTGAGGAAAGACGGATTAAAAAAATAATAATGCGGCAGAGCCCGAGATATCCTGACTCACTAACCCTGATGACATCACTATGACATCACCAGTGTTATTTTTTTCAAACATACAACTGTTTTCATAAGCTGAAGTAGGACTCCTTTAGATGAGTAAAGTGAAATTGGTGGAGTGCCCCTTTAAAAATGTGTTTTTTCATCCACCTGCAGGTACCACGCCTTCGATAACACTCGGAAAGACACAGAGGACAACACACAGGTCCCAGAGCTGATGGAAAAGGTGGAGGAAATGATCACTGACAATCAAGGTTTGTTGTTCACATTAAGTGATATGTAATATGAAGTCATATTATTGCATTATTAATGAATGCACCGATTGAAAACAGTGGATTACTTATTGTTGCTCTCACCCAGGCTGGTACTTTGAGGTGAACGAGTTGATTTTACTGGAGGAAGAGCAGGCCAGGAGAGCTCTGGACGAGGAGAGGATGAGGATGGAGGAGCATGTCAGACAGAGGGATCAGATGATTGGAGGACCTCCCAGAGGTATAGGGGGACTTTGTGTGTGTGTGTGTGTGTGTGCGTGTGTGTGTGTTAGTGTGTATAAGTGAGTGGGTCATAAGGTACAGAAGAGAGATGATTGTCGTAATGCTTCTCCAGAGAAAACAACAGTCCATCATTGATGTTCGAAGAAACAGCTTACTCATTCTAGTCAATCAAAGTTTTTTTTTCCTTTTCCATATTCCTAATAGGGCTGTCCTCGAAATTCTGAGTAGACAAACACTTTGTCGATTTTGTCGACAAATCAATGAGTTGATTTAAACGACTAATCTGTAAAAATGCCTTTTTTCCTCAAAGAATCCCACAAAAGCACCACTTTGAATCTTATGTTTACCAGGGATGTGCTCATACGTTTCTTGGACAGTGAAGTCATTCAGCATGAAAAAAGCATAAAGAACAAGTAATCGACTAAAGAGATCTTACTGGACTAGACCAAATGACAGATTAATCAACTAAACAGATCTTAGTCGACTTACACCAAAACAATCTATTAATTGAGTAAAGAGATCTAAGTAGACTTAGACCAAACCGACTGATTAAAGCGACTAAATAGATCTTAGTTGACTTAGAACAAAACAACAGATTAAAGCGACTAAAGAGATCTTTGTCGACTAAGACGGGCCATCCATATTCCAAATGGTTTCTCATTCTCTCACCAACTTCCTCTCCATATCTCACTCTGTCTTTGTCTGTCTCTCTGGGTTTAGAGTTGAGACTGCTCTTGTTAGGGTGGAAGGGGGTTGGAAAGAGCTCGGTGGGGAACTCCATTCTGGGCCGTCGGTACTTTGAGTCGGGCCAGGAGACGGAGTTGTGCCTCAGGAGGCAGGCGCTAGTATCCGGCCGGCGGATCACAATCGTCGACACCCCAGGCTGGGATTGGTTCTCGGTGAGGCGAACCCCGAAGCGCATCCGCCAAGAGTCCCAGCGCGGAGCTGCCCTCCTTCGACCTGGACCCCACACCCTGCTGCTGGTCCTCCCCGTTGTCTCGTCTCTCACAGCCAGGAAGAGGCGGACTCTCCTGTCTCACATAGAGACTCTGTTCGGTGACAGTGCGTGCCTCCACACCATGGTGCTGTTCAGCTGTGGTGATTGGCTGGGCCGCACGCCCATCGAGGAGCACATTCTCAGAGGTGGGAGGGAGCTGCAAAGACTACTGGAGTTCTGTGGGAACTATTACCACGTCCTGGACAGTAAGATCCCTGGCAAGGACAGAAGTGTGTCAGTCCTGCTGGATAAGATGGAGGAGATGATCAGAGAGAACGGGGACAAGGCCTTCCTGCCCATACAGACCGAGTGGTGTAAGTCACACAAGTTTGCATACACTTATATATAATCACTTATATGTCATATTATACATCTGTCTAATATACCTGTGTTGCGTTTGACAGTGAGCGAGGAGAGCTCTTACTCTTCTGACAACACCGAGCCTGAGGACGACTGTCGAGGATGCCAACTACAGTGACACGATCACACTAAAAGCAAAGTGGTCCCGTTTTCTGTCCTTGTTCCCGGTCTTCAACAGGCCCAAACACCACCTCACGTAACTTAAACCTCATCTAGACATCCCCGATCCGACTCCGAAGAGTTTTTAGGGGAAACAAACGACTTGGAACGGGAAGTCTCGTCCCGAGGAGCTCTGTGTTAGAACCGAACCGAACTGATCACCGAGAGAAAAAAACTAGACCAGGACTGAAAGCGCAAACTCTCCTCCAGCCCCAAGAGGAGGAGAAAAATTCAGCTTCTGCTTCAAGGGACCGGAGCTGGATCCCTGTCCATGAGCATGTACACAGATATCAACTGCTGCTAAAGAGACCCTGTTTTAACACTGCAGAGTAAAGAATTGCTCGTCATTGTAACTACGTCTATCAGACTACACCGATACAAAAAGAAAGCATAAAATCAAAACCAAAAGAAGACAACGTTATCATGACCAGTCAGATTTGTCTGCAGTTAGTTTGTCAGTATTGATTATTGGAAGACCAAGACTGATGACTTGTGTCATGAATTTGGACTGGACTTTACAACGCAGTCATCCCCTTCTACATCAAGTGCCATTGCTGTCATTCGCTTCAAATTAGTTTGAATCAAAAAAGCATTCAAAGGAAATGGTTTGAGTGAAAGCGACCGAATACCAAACCGAAACATGGACAGTGTGACAAACAATAATCATGTGTGCGCACGAATGTAAAAGAAAGAAAAAAAAAGAGAGGAAGGTCCTGAGTTGTTTGTGGCCCTCAGTATCATAAAAGTACACATTGAGACACAAGTGATAGTTCAATTCTCAGCGTTAACATTTGATTGGTTTCTGCTCAGGGAGTCAGGGTTGAATCGCTTCCTCCAGGGCAAAATCTGCTACATTTACAGAAACGCTGATTAATGCTGATTGCTAAACTGCAGATGTAAGTCACATATTAATTCAGAGTGGAGTTGTCCTGTGAGTATTTGCTCTAGTTTGCTGGAAGTAGAAGAGAGTCAGTGTTTGCACTTCTGGTTGTAATTGGTTCCATTGGTTCTCGCGTGCTGAAAAACTAAATTGTATCCATCTACAGAAGTAAATCTAGTCCATCTGAGCCCACCTCCGCCGTGGTCATTCATGCTCACGAGGAGCTCGGGACAGCTGCAGGAAATTGGCCGTATTGAAACTGTGTGCCACGTCAGATCCCTGCGGAGCGGCTCGGGCTGGCTCTGTTTCGCTGTCCGCGGTCACGCATCCAGTGCATTTATCGACAACGTAGATTCAGCTACGTGCCTCAGCATCAAAGCGTGAGAGTGGGAGTGCTGTGCAGCCCTGCGGCAGGGCAGTATCCTATAGGCTACATCAAGCTTTTAGCATGCTACTGAAACAACATAACCTCATGAACCATTTGAGCTCACATAGGGCTTTTACTACCTTTTTCTACATCAGTGAGACATCTGTTCAATTGCGATGTTTTGAAAATAAATAAATA